GTTTTTTCTGTGCGTTTAATTTTATAAATTAATTAAATTAAATAAATATTACAAATTATATTATAACATAAAATAAACACGCTCGCCTCATTAAATATTTGTTTTTTATTATACGTATACGATATACAAATAATAAAATCAAAAATCGAGAAATTCAGAAGATTAATTAAAACCATAGGCCATATCAAAATGTGTGTACTTTATTATTATCATTTATATTATTTATATAGAAGTTGGTACAGGGTTTTTTATGTGTATAGTAAGACACATTTTGTGCAGTGAGATAAGTAATTGTGCAGTAAAAATTGTTACATTAAAAAAGAATTTCAGGATGATATTTATCGTTTATTATAAAACAATAATAATTTTGAAAATGTAACAAATTAAAAACTTCTGAAAGAGCAAGAATGCTAGTAGAAACAGAAAACTATTATTTATACATTCACTATAGTCTATAATATGCCAGCATTAGTTAATTGAGCTTTAAAAAAATCAGTTATACATTTTATGAAAATTAAAGAAAGAAAAAACACTATAATAGACTAAGAGAAAAAACACAATTATTTTAAAATCATATTCCAAGAAGCAGATCCAGTGACTTCTGAGGGTGATACCGAGATACGAGACCAAGCCTGAAACAGCCAGCAGATAAATAAAAAAAAAAAAAGTTTTAATATTAGAAATGTTTAATACTATTAATTATTATACTATTATTTGATATAAAAGCTTAACACAAAAATTAAAAAAAAAAAATACCTAGTCAATACATTGTTTTTATTTTTTAAACAATTATTATTACAAATTACCTATTTACTATTACAAGTGAATATTACTTAGTAAGTATCATTAATTACCTTCATTAAAGTACCTTTTTATTTACAAACAATATTTTAAAATTATTATTTACAATAAAAATAGTGCATTAAAATAAAATAATTTATTTGGTATACCATAGGTAGAGTCCGAATTTATTTGTTTTTACATATCGTTTTTGAGTACATGCAGTCTTATGAAAATAAAAAATTTAAATAGTATGATATAATATCTACAGTAGACAGTAGTTAAGCCGGCACAGTTAACGGGTAATAGTCCATACTCCGTAGGTTTGTTCTGCGTAAACAAATTCCTTACTACAATCCAAGAACGGTAATACGTTTGTGCAGTCAGGAAAAATCATTAAAAAAAACCCTGGGTTGGTATATTAATATAGTAGTTTATATTAATTAATTTAATTTCCATGTTTGCAGCTTGCAGCTAAAATTTGTATTTTGAAAGCGGAGTTCTTCGATAATAATGATTAAAATAAAACAGCTAAGAAATAATATTATTTTCACTGTTTGCTAAAATTTTTATTGTAATCAATAATAATCATTTTTCTTCGACTAAATACATTACTGCCAACTAGACACTAGTATCACTATTACAAATTTAATTTTTCATTCTTAATTTAAAGGGCAAGTCGTAAGTGGGTACCATTCTATTATAGAACAGAATAGACGTCGACTAGATCATTATGTTTATAATGAATGTGTTAAATTTAAATTCAATGATGTTCATAACATACGTAAAAGCGTTGAATTTTCCAAAAATAATTTTTTTAAATTATAACAAAATAATGAATATTATTCTTCGTTTAAATATATACGTAAAACTGATATCATCCAAGTTTAAGCTATATCTATTCTAATTTATATTTATATATTTTTTAGATTTATTGGTTCCAGTGTAAACTATTTATGGGGAATATTGTATTAAATTTTCGGATTTCAACTATAAATTCTAGTAATCTGTAATTTTAAAAACAAATTTTGTAAAATTTAGTCAAAGAAACAAAAAAAAATGTGACTTGATATTTTTAATAATTTTATATGTACAAAGAATAACTTATATATTAATTCTATATTAAATTTTCAAGAATTTTGACAATGAATAATTTTTTATCGATAAATGAAAATTAATTTGACTTTCCAGCAGAAATTTATTTATTATAGCAGGTTTAAAAACTTATACATAACATTGTATTAAATTTTCAAATTTTAAATCTAAATATCAAAAAATGTATGAATTTTTAATTACAAAATTATTTGCTAATTTTCGTGAATTACACAATTTTTATTAAAATTTTAACTTCAAACACTAATAAAAAGTTTTTGAGGATTAACAATTATTTTTTTTTATTAATGAAAACTTTAAGTCAGCTAGTATTAAATTTTAACCCAAGAAAATGTTTATTAACAATAAAAAAAAATTAAATTTTTATAGAAATACTTAATATGTTAAAAACGTCAAAATATTTTGAAAATTATACCGCATGTATAGAAAATGATAATACAAATAATTGGTAAAATATTAAGTATATTTACATTTATTCGTTTTTGAATTATAATCTAAAATCAAATTTGTCAAAAATTAATTTTGACTAAAAATTGACGTTTTTCTTAAGATATAGGCTCAATTTTTAAATGCACTAAAAGTTCAAAATTTGACAAAATCACGAAAACGTAGTTTTTTGGTAATGTGTTGGTATATTTTTACCTACATACTAGTGATTATAGATACACGGAAGATGGAACAAAAGAACAAATTAAGAAACGGTGAAGTGGAAACCCGGCTTTACGGTTCATCGAATATTGTTAGTATAATGTATATATACAAATGTAATTCACGAGTTAAAAAAAATACCATAGGTTGAGCACTTGAGCTAGCCCTACACTCTCTCCAGACTCCAAGTGTTCAGAGTAGGATCTGCCCTGGTACAAAAATTATATAATTTTATATACCTACCAACTACCTTACTTATTAATAATTATTAGTGACTAATTGTCTATTGGTTAATAATTAACATAATTGCTTACAACAAATATTAAACATTCAACACTATAAAATACTTCAGCGGTTTCCAACCCATGGGTCGCATACCTATCGGCTATCACATAAGATAGTTTTTATTCATTTTACAATATATACATCGTATTATGGTATATACATTTAACTAACAAATAACATTTATTGTTTATATAATTGTATTAAACTGTCAATACTTTGTTAATTTTTTCATTCGATTAAAATACTAAATTCATATTTTCTACGTACGCTCGTAACGAATTCGCTGTAAAAATTAAGATAACATTGACATAATGACATAAGAGATTTATAAATTGTTGACATTATAAATTATTAGTTTGTATTACCAAAGTCTAAAATAATAAAAAATTAAGAACAAATAAATTAAAATGGGGTACCTATATTACATTAATACTAACAATTTATTATTTTGTGATAATAAACTTATTACTATACTTTGTACCCAATCATATGACTTTAATACAAATATTGATTAAATAAAATTATCTCGTGATATATTCTTTTTAGTGTTTCAAACTCAAATACTTCGTTACAATTTTAAATGCTTCTAGTGCTTCTACAATACTGTGAGTAATAATTAGTAAAATACTATTAAATAAATAGTCTGTCATTCTACACCAAGACTGTTCCAATTGTAATTAATGATAATCATAATAAATTGTCGCCAATTGGTAACATAATCATTAGACACTGGGTTATTTGTATAACAGTCCCGTCTACCTGTTACAACAATTATCTTATCATATTATGTTGAGTAATTACTCAAATAAATTCGTACGTCTATTTAAGGACTTATTATAATACATCTGCTGTAAAATCGTACAATCCGTCATTTATTTACATAATATAGACAAAATACTGTATATGCTTCTTACTCTTTCTAACTATATACTTAGTTATACAATCAGAGCTAGTTAGAACTTTGGCCTTAGGACACTCGGACATTATCGATTCGTTTACGTTGTGATTTGCAACTGCTTATGAGTGAACACCTACTTATATTATTAGACATAATATTATAGATATGATTTCTGTACCCATTTAATAAAAGTATTATTGTAATAGGATATTATGACCGTATATCCAAGCGACCAGGTCTAATATTATAATATTATAAAGGACAGTAGGAAATACCAAAAGTGCAGTCTATTCAACAATTATAGAACAGATATAGAATGGATATGAATAGAAAAATAACATAGAAAACACTAATAATACTAACTATTCCAAATGAATGACTACGAAAACAATATTTTAATTTTTAAGCGGCTTAAGAACAATCTTTCACATATAGAATTAATTGGAAAATGTCCATACGTTAATTATAAAAGTTGAAAAGGTTGATTACAATTATTACAAAATTGTTAAGATTATTATTTAAATAAATATAAATTTAGCTAATTATATATCATAGCACATAGTGCTAATTCACAGGTAGAGATGCGTTCTCTTTCTAGTTGCGTTAATTGGTGTAATTTGGACATTTGGTAAGGTATGTTACAAAATTGTATAAATTTTTCTAGTTGTGATTTAAAAAAAAATCTAATCACTACCATTCAACCACACACTTTCACCTATTTTGGACTTAATATATCTTTAACGTATACCGCTTATTACGCTTACCTTATACTCGGTTAACAGGATATTACAGATTAAAGCCAATAATATAGGCGGGTTAAGTACTTACTAATGTAACTTGTAACTAAATCGATCGACACAAAACGCATAGATCGCAGGCAACAACGACACAACATCCGTATAATTAATATCGAATCGTGGATCCACGCAAGTCGGTCCCGGCATCTAGCGGCCGATCGGGACGGCCCAACGATCGTTTTATCAAAACAAAAATAATAATAAATATCTAATAATGCTACCGTCTGCCGGAATAGCCGTCTTCGCCGTCGCCGCAGACACCGCCGTTCGACGATGCCGTTGCGGTATATTGGTGTTGTTGTTTAAGTGAGTGCGCGTGCGTGCCACTCGTGTGTTTGTGATCGTGGCGCGCTCCGGGCGTGCGTGCGTGCGTGCGTGCGTGCGTGCATTCTTTGATTCTTCCCATTCCCTACTGTTCGTCGAACAAAACCCGACCACCGGAGGTGGTAAGCACGTATTGCCCGCACGGTCCTTATCACGGCATCAGTCCTTATCACGCCGCTTTCGACTTTTCGTCTTTTCGATTCGGCTCGCAGTTGTCCCTTTGGGCGATTACAAACTCGCGTTCGTGTTAATCGTCGTCGTCGCCATCGCCGCCGCCGCCGCCGCCGCGTATTGCGAATTTTTGGCCATTCGATTCAGCCAACAATCTCGGTTATTTTTAATATAATTACCATACCGTCTCCGTCTCCCGCGTCGTGTTCGCATCGATATACGTATATACCTAATAAGCCCGTCGTCGTCACCGTTCGAGTAGGTAGTTAGTTTCTTGTCTTCTGGTCCGTACCGTGAAATTCCAATGTCCGATATCACGCGCAGTTGTGCACGGCAACGCAGACGGTGTTCTTCTGCCGTGGACCTGACACAGTGAGATGCCATATATGGTGTTCGAAAAATCTCGATTACGTCTAAAAAAGAAACATTATGATGCGTTCCACAAAGCGTACGTGCCCCACAGCTGACTTTAGCATTTGATATTGTGTCGAACGACAACCAATTGTATCGACATTATTCGAGTGTGTCCAGAATCGATCAGCTTCGAAGACGGTCACGTCGAAGGTGAGTTTAAAAAATATTTATTTTGTTAGTCTTTTTCGGTGGTACCCATCACCTACCTATGTGTATGTCAAGTCACTTTAATTTTGTTTAAATCAAATAATTTTACACCCATCTTTAATTACTTAAGTATTTGTTTTAAATTTTAGATGCAAATAGTATCTATGAATACCTATATTGTGTTTTTGATATTTAAAATAAATCTATTACGTGCAATTAATTAGGGTTAACAAAAGTATTTTTTATACAAAAAATATCATCTTGACTAGGTACCTTAAGATACCTGTCAAAACAAATCTATCAGAACACAAATTTAAGGTGATAATTCTAAATGTTTTATTTTTATCATCCATTGATCAAAATATTAAGTATTTGTTGTTATTAAAATAATGCCCATTCAAAACAAAAAAAAAAATGTAAACTAATGTTTTTTTTTTTTTAATTTGTCTAGGAATGAAAGAGATGGAGACTGTCAAAGAAGAAGATAGGTTGTGGCGATTGCAAATCCTTGAGAAAAAGATACGAGATCCAAGAAATGTTTCAAATGTTGATTCTTTATTGGTAAGAATACTCATAAAATTTTAATTTTATATTGCAGAAATTAGAATTTTGGGTGCCTACCTACCTAATTAATCGTTTAATTATAAAAATTATGTTATTGATGGTACTATATAAATATTTAAGTATTAGTATAAATATTTTCAGTATTATTTAAAGGTTTAAAAATATTTAATAAATTAGAACTACCCAAGTAACTTTAACATTAAACATGACAATTTTATTACACAAAATTATAGGTAGTTGAACAATCTAGTTGAATGTTAATATGAATCTTTAATGTTAGTAAGCAATCAATTATCTATTTTTCTCAGTAAATAATTTAAATATAGGTAAGTATTATTCAAATTAATAATATCTATAATTCGCTAAAAAGTAAAAAATTTAATAATACACAAAAAAATAGGATTTAGATATATTTCAAAAAACATTTGTACTAAAATAAATCACAAAAAGTCCTCTCATATAATATTATTTTATTTTATTTTCATATACCTAGTCAAATGTCTTTTACTTTTATTTTTATTATTTAAATATTTAATTATCTATAGTTTTTAATTGTAAGCTTTTTGTGTTATTGAACAAAATTATTTTGTTAAATATATTATATAAACAAATTATAATGGATACTTATTTATTCTTTTTTATTCATTTAATCTATTTTATTTTTCAAATTTCTACAATTAATGTTAGTTGATTTATGTTAAAAGAACTTAAATCATAATTTTATGTGTAAATATTTAGGTCCAAATTCTAACTGAATGTTCATTAAAATTTATTGTAGGTTTATGCTTAACTTATTTTTTAATGCTTTTAGTGACATCTTATGAGTAATTTTGTATTTGATTTTTAAGCTCTTTACCAAGCATATTATTTTATACATTTAAGTATAAAAAAGAAATTTATAACTTCAAATGTCTATAAATGGCTCAAATACAGTCAAAATATTTTGAAAATTACATATACCTAGTCAACGTTTAAACTATTTAAAGTAATTTATTTTAGAATTACAACAAAAAAGAAAATTTATTATGTTGTTAATTGGTGTTGCATAAATATGTATGTTCTTATCAATTACTAATAAAAGTACTTAGAAATTTTTTAATTTTGATCTGCTTCTTCAAGTACCAACCAAATTCACTTCCCTACAAACAATGTTGAATATTGAAGCATTTTTACTGCTTCTCTATTAGTAATGATGAATGAAAAAAAAAGCAACTTCATTGTAAAATCAATACTTTTATCACTTTAATCAAAATCCAAAAAAATAACAACATATAACTTATCAATAAAAATTATTATTAATTTATAATTGCTCTATAAATTTTAATATGCTTAAATCCCACAGAAAAAAATTAAAGCTATAAATGTAAATAAATATAAATACATTTTTTATAATATTAATAAAACATTCATATAAATACTAACAAATATTATGTATTTAAAATCAAATTTTATGGAATGTAACATGAGATACCAATGTTTGTTAGATTAAAAAAAATATTTATGTGCATTTTTTAACAAAAAAATACCCAATTCCTTATTTTATTACTATTATAATAATATATTAATTCATTAGGTAGCTATATCAACCATTTGCATTTACTAAATAACTATTTGGAATTTAAAACAGTGTTTATTTAATAAAAAAAAAAATTAAGTTCTTTTTATTTGACTTGCATATTTTATAATGGCATTTTAATTACGCATAATATATTATTGTATTATCATCTATTTATCATATAATTCATTTAAATACACAATAATATGTATCAGAATATTGCTTAAAACTTAATTATCATTTTATTAAATTCCTGAAAATCTTATTATATGAATTAATTAGTAAAATATATTTTTTAGTAACATATGGAATTAGATAATCTTAATAAAATAGAAACAAAAGATTTATTCATAATAGCATTTACTATTTAGAGTGGTACATATATATAACAAAGTTTATATGCCATTTATAGATATTTACTATATGCTTTTAATTGTGTAACATTGACCTCATATATCAATTCTCAGATAAGAATTATGTCATTAAACATAATGACTTTTCTGACAACCATTCATCACACAAATTTATCTTCTCACCTATAACATTAATAATATTTACTAAGATAAAATTAAGTGCTATGGTAAAGTGAATTATAAATTATAGGTATAAAATAATATCAAATATATAGCTAATAAATATAGTAATACATTACCTATACCTATATTTCTTATTTTTAAGGTGGAGTTAAAAATTATTATTAAAAAAAATTGCATATTATAACTGTACAACAGTTTAAAAATTAAAACAGCTACAAATAATGAGTTTCACTTAAAAACTTAACAATGTTATGAATTATATATTAGAAATATTTCCATTTTTTTTTTCGAATACCTAATAAATTTTAAAATGTTGAAACTTATTTAACATGAATTAAATTAATAGTATTTTATTCAATCACATTTGTACAGTTTTTAAAATTTTACTTTAAAGCAACAGTTTTCAAACTGTAAAATGCAGATAAGACATGAGGTGATATTGTATATAGTATACAATAAATTATTACAGCACTATACAATAATGAATTTTTTTTCGTTTATTGAAGGGAGATGCAATTAAATTTTTTTATTTATTTATTTATTTATTTATTTTTTTTTTGTTTGATGCATGAGCTATAAAAGTTTATGAACCACTGCTTTAAAGTATTTTTATGATTAAAAATATTATATTGTACAACAAACTTAATTGTATCTAAATTCTAAAATATAATAGTATTTATCTAGGATATTAAATTATTGTTTATAAAATAGTAATTATTTACTAAATGGTTACGTTTAAGACAAAAACAATAAAAAAAAAAAAACTGTTAGAATTGATCATATTTAAATTAGTATTATATTATGGGGTTTAGATGTTTAGAAATATAATTTTGATAATTGAAGTCCAATGTATTCTGTCTTCCTCTTTCAAGCAAAATTTATTGAAATTTATTTAATGAGTATGATTTCTTTTTAAATATAATTTATATCAATTTTTTTGATTTTAACCTACTATAAAATAATTTTGGATCATAAATTTAGCCTTATTATTTTATAGCATTTATTTGCCTATATTTATTATTAAATTACAACATTTTTATTTAGTTGAAATTGCCTAAACCATGCAATTATGTGGTGATATGGTGCTTGTGTATATTTTAAGAATATTTAAAAATAATAATTTTATGTGAATCAAAATCAGTGTCTTGGAATTTTTGTAAAATCACCAAATTTTCAAATGTTTTAAAAAATCATCATCTGTTTTAGCATTTTTGAAAATTTGATTTATTAACCCTCTAATTTTAAATAATTCATTAAAAAATACAAAAAAGTTACACTAACTTTGAAAAACTAAAAATAAATTATTTTCTATTATTCCCTTCAAATTTTCTTTGATAATTTTATTTAGTGATTTTAGTACTATTAAAATTCTTACAGTTTTCATTCTTGAAAACCCTGTTTTCTTACTGCAAATTATAGATAAGTTATGTCATTCAAAATTAACTGTATTTACAGGTTTATTATTTGTTAATAATCATAAGTGAAAATATAATTTAAATACCAAGAAACTTTTAAATATTTAACATTTTTAATCGTTGAAATTTTTTTGGTTTTCATAGGGTTCAATAAAATTAGTTGTAAGTTTATAATTTGTATTCAAAAAACCATCCATTATTTAGAATTATCTATTGGGAAAAGTTTTTAAACGGTTATTCATTTATTTTTAATGAACATTAGTTTCTACTAATTATAAACTAATAAACAACAAAATATATACTAATAATTTTAATTATAGGACACTGTACAAGCATTAGTGGCTGATTGTGAACACCCTGCAGTTAAACGAATGAAAAATATCGAAGCATTTATGCAAAGATGTAAGTAATTAAATTAAATACAAAATTTTGTATCAATGCTATATTCTTTTGTATAATTATTTGAATATTAGTGTAATGTATGTATACCAATAAAATAAATTTAATTTCAAAATGCCTAAGTCTTTTATACAAAACTATTTATATAAAATATAAGTCTGAAAAATTATAATAAGATACATTAAATATTTTTATTTGTAAACAAACAGGTAGTTGGTAAATATTTATATTATCCTGATGATTTGAAAAAATAATTCTATATTGTATTAACTTTGTTACAGCTGATTCTTGTTAAGTTAGTTTTTTCCTTAATTAAAATTTTTTATTAATAGGTACTTTTTAAAGTAAAATTATTTGATTATTTCTTGTTGATAAAAGTTAGTATAGGTACATACAATATAAAAAATTCTCAAATTTTGATATTTTATCATTTCATCAAAAATTATTACAAATTAGTATTGTATATTATAGAAATTAATATAATTCACAGTAAAAATTATTTCAAACTAAATGCACTATTATTGTTTATTTTCTATATAATATTTATAATTTATAAATATATTAATTATTTTTTGTTATTTATGAGTATTTTCTTGAAATAAATCTTTAATATTATTAATAACAATGTTTTATAGATGATAAATTTGCATCTGATATTTGTCAATTACGTATGAAACCTGATGATTTCAATCTTATTAAAGTTATTGGAAGAGGAGCTTTTGGCGAAGTTCAATTGGTAAGTATCATGCTGAATTATTTAATTTTAATTTTTGGACAATTAATGTGGATTCTGTATAATAATGCATTGATCAATTTAGATAAAAATAAATTACAACCAATAAAAATAGCATTTTCTCACTTATTCTTCAAAAAATAATAATTTAAAAAATTTCCGATTGTATAAAATTAACTATTTTTCCTATTACATACTATTATATACTATTTTAAAATTCAATTCATTGCAGAACTCATAAACCTCTTACTATCCTTTCATTCTAGTCATCAAATCCAAAACAACTTTTCCAGTTCCAGAAATTCTATTCTAGTTTCACCACATGCTCCTTAAACCTCGTCATATTTTACCAGTATTATAACTAGTGAGTATATAATTTTAGTTATATAGGTAGTAGGTTATTATAAATGTATTTTATGAGATATATATTATAGTACTACATTCAATATCTAACATAACTGCAATAAATTTGTTTTAGTATTTGGAAAATATATTTCACCCAATCACACAGTTTATATTCTTTAAACAAGCGTGTGTTGTAACAACTCGTAAACATTTGTATTTATTTATGTATTTTATTTAAAAAAATAAAAATATCTAAAAAAACTGTTCTAGCATTTTTTTATACTCTCTTATATAAATTAAATCTAATACTAATTAAAATGAAACTGTAGTAAGAATCCAGTCCGAAAATTAGTTATGATACCTATGTATGAGACAAAGACATAATATGTAGAATGAGTGTTCAACATACTCTTAGTATGAAAAATATAATACACATTGGATATTTATATATTCCCAAGATAATCCTAACAACAAATGAAAACAGTTTCAATAAATGTAAACCTAATTACACTATTAAAATAATAAAATTTAAAGATTTTCTGTGTATATCTTATTTTTATTTCTTAGTAAGCATAAATTAAATATATATTTAATCTTTAATAATTTTTAATATACTATTAATAATAATGTTAAAATTATTCACAAATAAATAAATAATATACTGTAATAGTTTAATTTGAATTTTTAACATCTATTAAAATATCAAATTTAATTTATACCACACCTATTAAAATAAATGTGTTTATATTTTTATTTATAGGTGCGTCATAAATCAAATAACAAAGTGTATGCCATGAAACTGTTGAGTAAATTTGAAATGGTATGTTTTTCTTTTTCAAGGATATTATAACTTTTCATTATATAAAATTGGTTTTTTATATATACATAACACATATTTTATAATATTTCATATTTCTCATTGTATAATTTGAATATTTATTTATTAAATAGATAAAGCGATCAGACTCAGCATTTTTCTGGGAAGAACGTGATATCATGGCACATGCAAATTCAGAGTGGATCGTTCAACTTCATTTTGCTTTTCAAGATCATAAATATTTATATATGGTTATGGATTATATGCCAGGTATAAAATTATTATAATTTTTTGTTATACACAAGTGAAAAATTATTTTTGAAACTAAATTTTTTTTTTTTTAGGTGGTGATCTAGTTAATTTAATGTCCAATTATGATGTTCCCGAAAAATGGGCAAAGTTTTATTGTGCTGAAGTAGTGTTAGCATTGGATGCAATTCATTCAATGGGATTTGTGCATAGGTACTCAATGTTATGATAGTAAATAAAATAATAATCAATTAACTAAACATTTATATTTTTTAGGGACGTCAAACCTGATAATATGCTATTGGATAAGTACGGACATTTAAAACTAGCCGATTTTGGAACGTGTATGAGAATGGGATCGGTAATTAATATACAGTAAATTCATTTGTTTATTTTGTTATTTGTAATTTATTTTTTAAATATTTAGGATGGGATGGTTAGATCTGACACAGCTGTTGGAACACCTGATTACATATCACCAGAAGTATTAGAATCTCAAGGTGGAACTGGGACAGGAGATCATGGTGTTTATGGTAGAGAGTGTGATTGGTGGTCCGTTGGCGTTTTTGTCTATGAGATGCTCATTGGGGATACTCCATTCTATGCAGATTCACTTGTTGGAACATACAGTAAAATAATGGACCATAAAAATTCCTTAAGTTTTCCTTCTGATATTGAAATATCCCAAAATGCTAAATCTTTGATCTACGCATTCCTCACTAATAGGTTAGGAACATACTCCAGAATTTTATAACACTGATATTTTGTATAATTTACCATCTTATTTCTTTCAGAAAAAAACGTCTTGGAAGAAATGGAATCAGTGAAATTAAAGATCATCCTTTTTTTCAAAATGATCAGTGGAGTTTTGATAATTTAAGAGATTGTAAGAGATAATTAAAATTTATTATGTTTGTTATGAAGTCTATAATATCAGTTAAAAATTTAGGCGTGCCTCCTGTTGTCCCAGAGTTAAATGGTGATGATGATACAAGTAACTTTGATGATGTTGAAAAAGATGATGGGCCAGAAGAAAATTTTCCTGTTCCTAAAGCATTTGCTGGAAATCATTTACCATTTGTAGGATTCACTTATTCTAGAGATTATCAGTCAGTTTATTTTATTTTATTTACATTAATTATTCAAAACTATTAAAGTAATTTTGGGTTGATTATTTTTTTTATTATTATCTATTTTTAGGTTATTGGGGAACAATGTAACAAATGGAGAATGTTTACCCGATACTGTAAGTTTAAGTAAAACTAATTTATTTATAAACATTTTATCTATTTCTGTGAATATCTTTTATGGATTAATATAAATTAATACAATACTAGCGATACATCCTATAATTATCTTCATGATATACTTTCCATAACAAATTATAATATTTTATTAGAAGAAATATGATGTATGTAATTTTATTTCAATTATCGACATTATCGTAATAATAGAACTTGCATGAATTCTTAATATTTCAAAATAGTTAATTTCAGAAGGTATTTTATTTGAAGATCAAAATTTTATTTTGTATAAAAAGTTCCTTTTCAATCTAAGATTTTACTTGTTTATATTTAAGAAACCAAAGTTGTTGGTTTGTTTTTTTAATTAATATTTTATATTATTCTACAACAATAGAAAATAATATATATATAAATTATATAAAAATATAGTTGACTTTTTGTAGTCTATTTTATTGAGGTTAAAATTGGATGTATCCTAGTTGTAGTAGATAAGATAAAATAGATTGCGCTAAAATTTAAATATTTTTTTTTTTTTTTATTATATTAACAAATAAAAAATACTGTTAATCTATTATTATTATTTTAATTTTTAAGTATTAAATAAGAAATATTTAAACTACTAATCATTGCCAAAACCACTTTTGATATAGATAAATATTGTATTTAAAATCTTACTTTAATAATTTTTTTAAACGCTTGATTTCAATATTAACATTTCTATTTTATTATTTTTCATGTGCGGTGCTATATAAAGGTGGATTGTGTGAGTAAATTAATTTAATTAGATTTGGATAAATTTAATCATTTTCATTATATTTTTAGAATTTAAGCTAAGCTTTATACTGAACTATGTTGTAGTATCTAAAATTTAATTAACTTGCAACTATACCATAAACCTATATTTTTAATGGATAATTAGTAAAAAATTGTATAACATTTAATATTTACAGAAAGAAACGTCGCATATAGTTGTTCTTAAAAGGGAATTGGATAACGAAAGAAAAGAATTATTAGTTATACGTGATCAGAATAGTAAACTATTACTGCAGTTACAAGATGGAGCAGATCGAGAATCACTTTTGAAACAAAAATCATTAGCTTTAAATACTTCTATTTCTAATCTCCACAAAGACTTGAGAGATGTAAATATTTTAATATAATATACACTTTTTATGTAATAAAAAGCTGTTTGTTAACAAACAAATCAAACTATTGTCTATTATGTTATTTTTATTTACAATTTGATTATGTTTTATAATATTTTTAGGCACAAAGAAAAGCTGACAATGAATGTGAAATGCGTAGAAAAACAGAATCATTATTACAAGAATTGAAAAGAAAACTTGATGAGGAACAAAATAAAAGAACAAAAGAGATGAACAATAACCAACAACATAATGATAAAATAAATTCCCTTGAAAAACAGGTAAATTAATCAGAATTAATTTTGTTTTGTTTTGTTTAATAGCATTTTTTTTATACTTTTAGATGACCGATTTACACGAAAAACTAAAAGTTGAAACAGATACTTGTACTAAACTTCGTAAACAAGCGGCAGAATTGGGAATTGCCAAAGCAGCTAATGAAAGAATGGTTGTTGAACTACAAACAATGTTAACTAATTTGCAATTAAATCGTGACACATTGCACGAAGAATTAGCAACATTACAAGGTCAATTATCTCAAGAAAAAAGTTCACTGCGAGATTTACAATTGGAACTTGAAGGTAAAAACATTATGTACTTTGTTAACAATATAAGATAATGTGAAACTGATAATATTGTTGTTTTTATGCTATAGATATATAATATATAATATTCAAAACATATATGTTTATATATTTAATTTTCATATATAACTGACCCTAAAATCCCAATATTGATTGGTTTCTTCTCTCACATTGTCTGTCTTCATCTTTTTATAACCTTTCCCTTGTTTTTATTATAAAAATTATTGTTTATAGACTGTACAAAAAAAAAAATTTATATATATATATATATATATATGACAGATATACATTATAAATAGTATTTAACTACTTCGTGTGTGGAAAAATGTTTTATTATATATAACAAAAAAAAGCTCAGGTCATTATTTATTACTAACATATAAATTTTCATTTTTTACATTCACATTTATAGATTTTTAAAACTAGTAACATTTGTATCTATTCTATAAAAAGCAAATTATTGTATTTTATTTTAAATAATAACTGATTATTCATTTAAATGTAAACAATTAATTTGATAATTATGGTTTCTTAAGAATGTTGAGGAGGTTTCTTGATTATATAAAGGTCAATTATTGTGTTTAGGCTGTTAAATAAATTTTTATTATTTTTCTATTAGCATAGTTGTTGAATATGTATCACAGCTTAGAAAAATATAAGCATGCATTTAATTTTTTAATTTTTATAGTGTTTAATTTTTAATTCATGGATGGTAGTGGGAGTTTAGCATATCTTATATTTTATAGTTTTTAAAAATATATGAGATGATTTAATTAAATGTTTATAAAGAGTTTTAAAAATATTACTTAAGTTTTGACAATGTGATAAAAAAATCTGTTTTTTCTTCAATCTTCGATGAAAACTGCATTTCATGTATGAGTAGTTATTTTAATAAAGTTAAAATTGTTATGTGTTACCATTATGTGATTTTATGTCAAATTACTAGGTTTAATATTTTTTTGTATCTATATGAATTATATAGTTAAAGATTTTGAATACTCATCAAATATTGTTTTAAGGTCGTTTGCAAGCTTGTCAAGCTGATCTTGTGCGCTCTAAATTGAGAGAACAAAAATTAAGTGAAGACAATAGACAACTTGGAGAAAGAACATCAGAATTGGAAAAAGAATGTGCATCCTTAGTGTTAGAATTAAAAACTGCTCAAAACAGATATCAACAAGAAGTGAGGGCTCACGAAGAAACAGAAAAAAGTCGATTAGTAAATAATGAGCAAGCTAATCTTGAAATAGTGAAAGGTATGTGTGTATTTTTTTAAAATTTACTTTAATAAAAATGATAACATTTTTAGAATGAAATTCTATTAACTTCATTATTGATATAAGAGTGTGTGATTATTTCCTACTTAGTGTTTTTTAGATTTTTAATTTTTAAAATTCTTTAAAAATTAGATAAATTGACCAAGACTAAATATCAAATTATAATAATTTAGATATATCTAGTATTTAATAATTAATTAGTAAGTAAATTAAAAACCGCAAAAATGTTTTATTATTTGTTAACTAACACATTTTAAAATTAGTTTTTTTTTTTTGTACTTAATAAAGTTTTATTTTACCCCAAATATTTATAAATCATTTCAATTTAAAAATTCTAAAAATATAATTGTTTGAATTATATTTTTTCAAAAAATAAGACAAAAGTATTGTTAATATTAGCTAAATCCATTTATTTTGTTTTCATGCTTTAGTTAAAATGGATTATATATTTAAAGGTAAAAAAAATGGTGCATGTAAATATATTGACGATAGAACAATTTTTTAAATCATATTATAAATATTATTTTTCAGCACTTCAAACTAAATTGAATGAAGAAAAGAGTGCCAGACAAAAAGCTGACTCCCTTACTCAAGAAAAAGAGCGTCAGATATCAATGCTTTCTGTTGATTATCGTCAAATACAACAGAGGCTTCAAAAACTTGAAGGTGAACATCGACAAGAAGTGGAAAAAGTATGCTATTAAATTTAAAAATTTATTTACATTTTTATACAAAATTTGTTGATCATTTTAGAGCAAAGCATTACATATTCAAATCGATCAAGAATTATCAAAAAAATCTGCTTTACAATCTGAACTAGGTGTGCACATATCTGAAGCGACACAGTTACGTGCTAGAGAAGCACAATTATTGCGAGAAGTCACTTTATTAAGAGAAAATAAACGTGCTATTGAAGAAGAACTGCATAAATTAAAGACTGAACACTCAGTGACTGATTTACAGATGAAAGAACTACAAGACCAATTAGAAGCAGAACAATATTTTTCAGTAAACTATTGTATATATCTAGTAAATAATTATATGTGACTAATATCGATATTATGTTGAATATTTCATAGACTTTGTATAAGACTCAAGCTGCTGAACTTCGTGAAGAAGTAGAAGATAGAGAAAAGGGCACTGCCGAGTTGGAAGAAGAACGTGGCTCACTAGCTCATCAATTACAAATAGCATTAGCTAGAGCTGATAGTGAAGCACTTGCTAGATCTATAGCTGAGGAAACTATTATAGATCTTGATAAGGAAAAAACAATGAGAGAGCTAGAACTAAGAGACAGTCAAAATCGGCATCGTAATGACTTGGAATCAAAAGAATTTACCCTTAATAACGTAAGCTATAAAATATTTTATAATTTATAATAAATTAAAGTAAACTATTTTTTAGTTGAGAGAAATAGAAAATGAATTGAAGAAAAAAATGGAGCAATTGATTAAAGATAATGAAGAGTTAAAAACCCAGTTAACTATAATTCAAGAAGGTAAGATATAATGTTAAATTTTGATATATTAATATCTTTCATCATATTTATATTAAATCCATTTTTTCATATAATACTAAAGCATTAATGTACAAATTGTTTCATAGAAAGTAAAAAGAATTTCATTGAGGAACTTGAAAAACTTCGAAAACAACTTAAACAAGAACAGCTATTGAAAGCACAAGCTGTTAATAAATTAGCTGAAATCATGAATCGTAAAGACAATACAACTAAAGGAAAGAGTAAAGTGTCATCCGCCGATTTGCGAAGAAAGGAGAAAGAATGTAGAAAATTACAGCAAGAATTGACGCAGGTATATTGAAGAAATTAATAAAATAAAATATTGATATTTTATAAAGTTATATTAATGATTGTATGAATTAATCTTAGTATAATATTTTTTAAATAAAACAACTTTTATATTAATCTAAGAATATCCCTTAATTACTACTGAATTTTCTCAATTATAGATTTTCAATATAAAAAAAAAATAATGGGGACTTAACTCATGTTAATGAGTTTTGCATTTCTCTCTTGTCAAATAATTTTTGAATTAGTAACCTACTATATGATTATTTTAAAATAAAACTGTTAAGACTCCAAAGTTCATTTTTACAGACTCAGAAATCAATTTAATGGTTTATTCTGACTATATTATAATTTACTTAATCCTAAAATTGATTATTTTTGTGAAGCTGAACCAAATATTCTGATATTTTACAAGTATCTTTATCAAATTTCTATTTATTCATTTTTTTTATATTATGTTATGAATTTCATAATTAATAAATATGAGATATTTATATTGTTCCGATTAACATAAATTCTAAGTATAATATATATTTAGGAACGAGAAAAATACAATCAAGAAGTTACAAAGTGGCAAAAAGAGCTTCAAGAACTTCAATCGCAAGTGGTAGATGAAAACGCTAGTAAACTAAGACTTCAAATGGAACTTGATTCAAAAGATTCAGAAATTGAACAACTTCAAGGAAAATTAACCAACTTGGGTAGTGAGACAGCATCACTAAGTAGTGCTGACAATGATGACATTGATATATACACTCAAGGTTTGTATTGCACATGTTATTTAGTTTTCATTTAAAATAAAAATTGCTCAATGTTAAATGAATGTAATTTTTTGTAGAATCCAGATTAGAAGGCTGGTTATCAGTTCCAAACAAACAAAATATAAGACGACATGGTTGGAAAAAGCAATATGTTGTAGTATCATCAAAGAAAATATTTTTCTACAATTCTGAAAGTGATAAGCAAAATACTGATCCTATATTAATTATAAATTTGAAGTAAGCTCTTATAGTTTGCAAACTTGATATTGTATGTTTTTATTGTTTGTCAAATTGTATTTTCTAGTAAAGTGTTTCATGTACGATCTGTAACTCAAGGCGATGTTATTCGAGCAGATGCTAAAGACATTCCTAGAATATTCCAAGTATGTAATAAATTCAAATCTGTAATTTTGTATTACATATTATTTAGATTATTTTTGTTTTTTGAAACAAACCTTAAGTATGTTATTGCTGTTAGAGACATAATTTTATTTTTGAATTTAATTTTACATATTTCCTTTTAAAATATGAATTATAATAATTAGTTATTAATTAATTAAATATTATATATTTATATTATTTACATTTTAAATGCATTAAATGACACATTGTTATCCATTTGTCTATTACCTACATGTAATCCCCAATAAGAAGATAAAATTCCTAGAAATGACAATAAAATAATTAATTGTTTTGATTTGTTGATTATTAATATTTTAGTATTTAGTGTCAAACTTGCAGTTCTGTTGTTAATTTAATGTACTTTCATTCCTACTTTTATTTGTATTTTAAATGTATTTGAAAATATTCATAAATCTCTATATTTTACTGTTTTTATAACAAAATGTTAAAAGCCATAATACTATTTAAATAGCTAGATTACGTTTTGTGTCAAAATTAGGTGCCAATGATAAATTTCTTATACTGTAGGTATTGTAACTTTAAATTAGGAAGTGGAAAATAGTTTAATGTTACTCAATATATTAGTTTAGACAAACACAAAAATGTAACCATTCATAAAGTAAAACACCAACATTTGGAACAATGAAGTAATAAACGTAAGGGAATATATTTTGTTTTTTTAGAGATGTAAACCTTTACCTAAGTTTTGAAATTTACTAAAAAAAAACAACTACTTCATTCTTTTTAAATTGAACCTTTAAAAATTAAAGGACCTTTTCTAGTAAATTTTGTTGTAAATTTAAATTTTTTTTAAAATGTTATAAAATAAATAAATTAGTTAATACAACTGGCTAAAAATTGATAATAATTTTATAAAAAGAAAATAATTTCTTGACTAGTGGATTGTCGATACATGCATGTAAGTGCAGGAACGCTATGAGCATATGCTGTTTGTTTTATATAGCAATCACTCACACTAATGATTACTCACAACCACGTGGATACATATAAACACCTCGTACAAAAGTACATAGTCTATGGTTTATTTTAAACTCCTTGAAAACAATATATATCAAATCCCCTTGAAAATGTTGACATCACATCATTGATTACCGCAAACTCATTTCATATTCGTATGTGTTGAGTTGTAAGCATATTATTAAAAAGGTTTGATGCAGGCTTTTTTTAAGGAAGTAATATTTTTCTAAGTGTGTGATTACATTATGTATTCAATATAATCATTGTTTTTACCGTTTCTTTTTAATTAAATTGAAGTTGTATTTTTATTTGGTTTTAGCTTTTGTATGCAGGTGAAGGTGAGGCTAGAAGACCTAATGAGTCTGGTCCAGAACATCTATCAAGAAGTACAAGTGTAACAAGCACTGTGGATGAAAAACCCGGTACAATTACATTAAAAGGACATGAGTTTGTTCAAATATCGTTCCACATGCCAACAAATTGTGAAGTATGTCCCAAACCATTGTCAAATGTTTTTAGACCTCCACCAGCACTAGAGTGTAGAAGTATGTTGTAAAACTTAAAAATGTCATTAAAAATATCAATGTGACTGAATTGATTATATTTTTATGATAGGCTGCAGAATTAAAGTTCATAAAGAACATCTTGAACGTAAAGAAGATGCGATTGCACCGTGCAAGCTGCATAATGATCCAACATCTGCCAAGGAGCTATTGATCTTAGCGCCTAGTCGAGATGATCAAAAATTGTGGGTGCAGAGACTAAGTAAAAAAATCCAAAAGTGTGGATACAAAGCCAATACTAATCTAGATGGTTCCAAAATATCCCCTAGGTTAATTTAATTGTTTAATCATATTTGTTTATTTAATATCACAAAAAGTGATTATAATAAAATTATATTAAATTACTTTACAGAGAATCGACTCGATCCACATTAAAACTCTTTCCCGGAAGTTCTGTTCATCAAAGATCTGCAACATTACCATCTAACATTTCTAAATAAATAAACCTTAAAAAAAAATTGCTTAGATGGTAAAGTGTTTATGCAACAATTAGCAGTGAGTGTTTTTATATTCCCTACGACCAAATAGTAGCCATTGGAGTTAAATTAAAGAAAATTAATTTAATTTTTTTTTCTTTTTTTTTTTGTTAAGGTTATTTATAATATTTCATTCTATTATTATTTGTGTATATTTATACTAACATTTAAATTGTTATATTAGGATTCAATTTTAAATCACACCCGTGTACATTCAAACGAAAAGGAGATTATTGGATTACAAGGTATTATGTACATATATGATAAGTATATATTTATATATATAAATATTTACAACGAAAATGTTTTATAAATCACAGTTAGGTTTATTGAACACCAATTAGTTCACAATTTAAGAACCATTTTAAAATGTTGGTTTCTATCGACTTTTTAATTGATTCGCATAGGATATAAGTTAATTATTATTTTCAATGTGTAACTCGCAATGACTGATTATGTATTTATAAAAACCTCTGTATTTTACGTTAAATAATTTCGATAGCTGAGAAAATTTGTTGTTTAGTTATACTTATTAAGAAACAAAATTTGTATTATGTAATAACACGCATACATAATTATTACATATTCATTATGAATTTTAATTTATTATTTTTTTTCAATTGATAAAATTAAATTTCTTTATTGTTGGCTTTCTGTACTTTAGTTTTTATATTAACGATCTTCAGGCTCGTTAGTCTTTAATTATTATTTTTTATGATGTTTCTCACACAGTTTAAATCTAAAAATATAACCGTTTAAATAACGTAAAGTAAACGTTTTATAAGTATCATGTAGCAATAAGCGTTCATTATTTAAAATTGTTTTAAATACAATAACGCATGACAGACTGCTAAATGTTTTTTATTAATTTTTTTTTACATTTCAAACAATTGATTTTCTCAGAATCAAATCTTTGTTTGTAAGTGATTGCCAAAGTTTTTATTTAGGGATTCTTTTTATTTTTCTTAAACTTTTAGTTGTTTGTCACTATTATGTCATATGTTACCCATTGCGTGAAGTATCTTAAGTATTATTATATGTAATTTATTTTATTGGAATATTTAACAATATTTATTTTGTTGTAATTTTATTTTTAATGATTGTGTATTTTAATAAATAATATTTATACTGAAATAACAAAAATAAAATACTATAAAGATAAGTCGAATTCCAACTATACTAAGTATTTATGTTACACAGATTTGTGGGTCATGGTAATTTCTATAATAGGAAAACAAATAAAAATAATAGATTCTCTTACATATTAGTCCTACTCTATTATACCTTCCTACCTAATATTAACTGTTAGGTAACTCAAAAATAAGTTATATAATAAAATGTTTAAAAATGTTGAATATATATTAATTTGTTCAGTACTATCTATTTCATTATTTCAAATGTAATTTACTTATAAAAGGATTATGTTTATATAATTGTGTCACTTGAAACTATTGTAATTCTAAATTCATCTGGTTGATATCCCGAATTAATTTTTTAACACTGTATTTCATTGTATTTTTTTCTAGAATTTTGTGTTTATTGGCTTGTCTTTCATAATTGAAATATAAGTAAATTTAAGCAATACATTATTGTAATAATGTAATGTAGCATAACACGTTTTACATTTAATTGTATAGTTTTTTGTATTTATATTAAACAACGAAATGGTAAATTAATTGCTCAATCAAATACTTCACTAAATTATTGATGTAATTTGAAATTATGTTATATTGGTCCAAAGAGTTGTGATAAACTCCTCGGATAAGAATCGTAATACATGCAAGAAATATTGTTTGTTTATTTTTTAATTTTTTGCAAAACCATTTGTGTGATGTTGTATTTCACTACTTGCTATAATTCAGCTTAATGTTTTAATGTTGTGATATTAAAAGTGTTTGATTAAAATTCAGTCATAAATAAAACTAATTTTTTTCAAAGTCTGAAAATAATATTATTTCCAATTATCAAGTGAATCCTAATAGCTAATATATTGCACACTGTTCCTAAATTATTTTATACATAGTACAAAATACACAAAATCATAGAGCTTTATTTTTAATATTCAATTTTTTAGCATACCAACTTTATTATATTTAATGAAAATTATAACTATTATCTACATTTAGGACTTTTTGCTCTCATCAAATAACCCATAATAACAAATTTTACTTTTTATTCATCTACCCAGCCCTTTTACCTGAAAAATTACGTTTAAATTAATATATACCGTATTAAATTTAATTAGCAATTATCATTAACTACTAAAAAAGATCCAAATCAAATAATTATAAGTATTCATAATGTGTATTATAACTTAAGTACAACTAAATATAAATTAAGCTTAAAATAACTTACTGGGAGCAAATGTTCTTATAATGTATTTTGCTTTACTATACTTTTGATAAAATAAGAGTTGCAATAAGTTATTCTTCTAAAATCTAGTGATATAATATATCGAATGTTATTACGATAAGCTCAACAAATATTTTTATCAAAAACTTTAAAAAAAATTAGTAAGAATGCAATTAAAAACAAATTTTTATTAGTTATTATTATAGTATATAAGCATTTATATTTATCATTATTTATTATTATTATTATTATTATTATTATTATTATTATTACAAATAATAAAGATTAATGCTTTTGATGAAAAATTTTTACCTAAAATTTAAAAATAAACATGCATTTTAATTATTTATTTATTTTTATTTTTTGGTGCGTGTGAAATTAAAATAATTTTACCGATTGGTTAATTTGTTTTAATTTAGTATACATTTAACATTGAGATTTATTGCTTATATTGAAACAGTAACAAAATAATTTTATTATGTGTGTACAACATAAATTTATTAATATTTAATTTTATACATTTTACCTAAATTTCATTTATATAGTAGTTATATTATTAGTATTACAATTGTTGAACCTGATATGCATTTAGCAGAAATAACATTGGAATATAACATATTATAATGAAATGGAGGCATTTTTATGATAAATTTTGAGTACCCCCATTAAAAGAATGTGTACCATTGGTTATGGAATACATTGTTAACTCTGTGATTGTATTATTAAACGTTTTACACAAGTTTTTACTCCATTTTTTTTTTTTTTTTAGTTTAGTTTAAATTTTATTATTATATAATTTTTTTTTTTTTTTTTTAATAGTGTTTAAATTTTAGCATTCTAAGTGGAAGACTTATATTGTATTATGATGATTAAAATAAAATTTTAACATAAAATTGTTTTACAATATATTTGCATATGCTGTGCTTGATGCGCTTTTAGTAATATTTTTAAGTATTTTAAGATCGTCATTTGTTGTGTTTACTTATGTTAACTACATGCATTGTATGTTTGACATTGATTGTAATGTAAAATTAAACTATTGTACAATTTGTAATAATAATAAGCATATGTAGCATATTTAATGTGCTTGTGCATAATATATATTAATTATAATAATTATAAAATAATCACGATAATAACAATAGTTTATGGACAATGGAACAAAAAGCAAACGTTTATGTAATAGTATTATTATCGAAATGAACTTAAAATAAACATTTTTGCTTCAATCAATGTATAATTCTTTTATAAAACTATTATGCTCATGTTATAATCTAAAGTTAACTAATTTAAAAATAAAAGTAACATAATTATTTTGGAAAGTAAATTAATTAGAGTATTATAATCTAAATAAAAAATAAAAGGTAAAATTATATTAAGTTTAAGTATAAAAATTCTTATTAAACTTTTAGCCTGGTTTAGTAGAAAATAAAGCTTTGAAGACACCTAAATGTACAAAAATATTTGTTAAAATCAATACATTAATCAAACAAACTGTATAAATAATGTGACTAGGGATCGCAAATTGTATTTATTCGACGAGGTGTCTTGACCACCTGTTGTTGACTTTGAATTTTCAATTTTAATGCTTCTCTTTTCTGAAAAATCATGTCAACTCATTAGTGTTATATTAATGTTATCATGATTACTGCATTATTGTTTAAAAAAAATATTATTTGTTATATGCATGGGATATTAGAACAGTTGTCGTTTTAACACATGAGTTTAATTATTGAAAAAATTAACAAGTTTCAATCTATAATTGATTATAATATTAGTATAAATTAGCAAAATATTTAGTAATTAGTTAACTAATGGTATGATAAATGACAAAAGTCCTTTTGTGTAAATATTGACTTATGAGAGTTGACACTGTTAAGCAACAAATACATTTATAGGTAAGCTGTATAAAGCTTTTCGACAATCAATTTCAATAAAACAATAAAATATAATTAATACACTTTACAATTAATGGTGTGTTAGTCACCATTTGTCAAAATTTTCTGGATTGGATATCAAAAACAATGTGTTTTGTCGTTAGCTACAATAATATATATGAAAAAATGTATCAAATGTATAACGAATTTACATTAGTTAGTTGGTTGTATTGGTTTTTGAGTAGTTCCAAATGTTTCACTCTTTGTCCAAAACCTTGTTGCTCAAATTGATTCGCTAATTTGCTAGGCGAACGTTTCATCGCGTTTAGATTTTCGTCAAGAAGAGTTCTTTTCCTCTTTAAGTCTTCGTAGCGATTTTTGTATACTTCCAACTGACTTTTCACACTGTTTGTTTGCTCGAGAAGTCTTTGTTTTTTCTCTTTTTTCCTAAAATAAAATTAGTAACATTATATACTTAACCTATGTACACCTAATATAGTAATATTATAAAGCGTTTGGAAAGGTGCAAGATATTTGCATTATATTTTTGAATTTTATTATCATAATTGACATAAAAGTTAAAGTATAAAATGTTATCAAAATTTGAACTTCAAATTCGTATAATAAAAAATATTGCTTTTGTATTATTAATATTAAATTTCTAAACAGGTATAAAAAAAACTTAATGTGATATTGCATTACATTTTAAAAAATGTTGACATAGTGAATCATTTTTAGTTTACATTTAAAAACTGTCGAAAAGAACCAAGAAAAGTTGAAAATTATGCCATTTATAAAAAATTATAATATAAACACTGTGAAAATTTCAAGTTTTTATTGTTATACGTTTTTGAATCATATCAAAAAAAAGAAATCAATATTGTCAAAATAACTAGTTTCTCGTTAAAATTTCTATTTTTTTCTCATAATTATCTATTGATTATTTTTTCACACTATTTTATCTCGATTTATTTATTTATTTATTTTTTTTTTTTAATTATGGTACCTATTCTTTCTACATATTAGTATTCGGGAGACTTGAAAAATACTGATTTCTTTTTGATCAAATCAATATATATTCCTAGATTTGAGAATAAATAAACGCTTTGGACTAAAATACCCTGTGCGCGTTCCTGATATTATAAAATACTATCATTATAAATTATAATCAAACGATAGCGATTTTTCTCATTAAGCCGAATTGAACAGAAAAACAAATTTACCCAATGTTGTGTTGTATAGGAAGAACATCAAATAATATATTTTGAATATTTGTAACAGTAATTCAAAAAAAAATAAATCGAATGATGTTTGGATTACCACCCGCTCTTAAATCTAATACTTTTCTACGGCCGAATTTCCAGTTTTAAAACTGTATCATACAAGGAGGCTATCCACGACTTGTCCCGGGACATCACGCGAAAACTCATTTACGGTTTAATTCCCAGCACAGAAAATCGCAAAACAATGCCAAAATCGTTACAGTAGCCATTAACATGCACGCACTAGGTACCTACTCAATAAATCGCACGTTGGCCGCGGCTGAACATAACTACGAACAGGTGCCTCCTTACTTGGAAATCTTGGCCTTCAGCTGCTCGACCTTGTGCAGTTCCTCGCCGATTTGCCGTTCGTCGACGGCCAACATGCGGCCGAACTCCAAGTTCCTAATCTGCTGGGCTGTTATCTGTTCGGCGACCGCGCAGAAGTCGTCCAGCACGACCGACCGGCTCTTCTTCACCGACTGGTCCGCGTCCAGCGCCGCGCACGCGGCCGCCGCGTCGCGCAGGCTGGCCTGCAGCGTTTCCGTCTGTTCTTCGAGCGCGCGCACCGTCGTCTCCAGCGTCCGGTTGAACTCGGACACGGACCGGACGGCCCGCCACAGCGTCAGCAGATCGTCAGTTCGCGACCGACAAGCGTCGCCGCCGCGGGCCACCGCGTCGTCCCGAAGCCGTCGAAAGACCGTTAGGGCGGCGGCGGCGGCGTCGTTGTCGCCGTC